CCTGGCGGAGCTTCAGATCTTCCAGCATCCAGGCCTGGATGGTGCGGTGCAGGGCTCGCAGGGCCCCCAGGTACTGGTCCCAGTACTCCTGCCGTGTGCTGGTGGTCCGGAGCAGGCCGCGGGTGCGAGAGCATGTCCCGGGTGGGGTGGTGCGCCCTGCCCGAGCAGCTGGTGTAGCTGTAGAGGAAGAAGAGAAGTGGTCAGTTCTCCCTGGGGACACAGTGGATGGTGCCCAGCCACCCCCTGCGATGTGAGGGTGACCGTGCCCTGCACCATCAGAGCTGATGTGCTTGCGCAGAGGCCATGGTCAGGATGTCTGGCTCTCCCCAGGACTGAGAGCTGCCCCAAGACCGCACGCATGTCCCTGTGCCATGTACAGTGTGGCCGGGGCAAGGGGGAGATGTCCCCTGCCTCTGTGTCGAGGGGGCGTGTGAAGGGAGAGCGTCCTGCTGGGTCCCGCCCCAGGGTCGGGAGTGTATCAGGTTTCTTCAGAAGCCTATTGAGCCATGGCCTCTGGGAAGCCAGACCCTGGTCTTGCCCCATTGCTCGGCCAAATGTTTTATTTGGAAGCACTGTTTTCCCTGAGCCTGCTTCCAGGAGGAGGTTTTACTGTGTTCAGCAGTTCTCTTTGACGTGCCTTTGTTGTGTGTTTCGTTGTGTCCTACTGGCTGCTCTTCAGTCATTGGGATGCTACGTCCAATGGGCTTTCTCATTGCTGGGACATTGCATCCAATAAGAATGGCCATACTGGGTCAGACCAAAGGTCCATCTAGCCCAGTATCCCAGTGTTTCTTAAACTGACTTCCAGGACACACCGGTGTGCCGTGAGGCAGTCAGAGGTGTGCCGCGGAGAACAACAGAAGTATGGCCTCCCTGGACGACCCTGACGACTCTGGTGCCGGAACAGCTGGCAGTGGCCCCTCCGGTGCGCCCTCCGGTCCCGGCTCGCTGCCTCCCGGGCCTCCTGGGTGGCCTGTGTCCCTTTCGGGCCATGGTGGCCGCTATGCGCCCGTAGACGGCCACGTTCCTCCTCCTAGTACAGAGATCCTGGACGCTGGGGGCCTGCCCCCAAACCTCAATGAGGTCCATGACCTCCACACTAGACCAGGAGGGTGCGCGCCATCTACGGCCCCTGGCTGGCCCCGGGGTGCTGGGGGACTGGGCGGGGGATGTCTGGCTGGCACTGGCTGCCTGGCTCATCCTGGGGTCACAGGGTCGGGGCAGAGACTGCTGGCAGGACTCGCTCTGGCAAGTGCCATCTGGCCAGAGTCTACCCCTTTAAGGGCCCCGGGGCTTGGGAAGAGGAGAGGAGTTTTCCTGGTTGTGCCCAGAGTGACCACCAGGGGGAACTGGGAAGGCTGGAGGCCCCCTAATTCGAAATAAGTGTCTACACAGCACTTATTTCAAATTAGCTATTTCGAACTCGGTGTTATTCCTCGTAGAATGAGGCTTACCTAATTCAAAATAAGGGCTCCACTATTTTGAATTTATTTCAAAATAGCTGTTTGTATGTGTAGACACTATTAAAGTTAATTCAAAATAACATCTGTTATTTTGAATTAATTCTGTAGTGCAGACATACCCTAACAGATTTATTCTCACAAAACGCCTATAACATTGGGAACCATGGGACCATCCTTCTTCTATACTACAGCCATTTTTGTAAAATTGGCAGGGACAAGAGGACAGGCGCAATAAAGAAAACTAATCCCAGTGTTCAGGACATATGGTCAGCATTCCTATATTATGGATGCCTAATACCAACTGTGAAATCAAACAGAAACTTTCCACAGAAAAGAGCCTACTGTATGGGTATCCCCTTATGCTAGAATTTACCACATGGTGTATTTAATAAGAAAGGGAAACATTTTATCCTTTGGATTTTCCACATTCTGTAGTACTTTCTAAAATTCCTCTCCCTATATAAACAGCCACAAGTTTTAGTCACTGAAGTAGTCAAGCTAAAGAAAACAGCTTGGGCTTTCTTCTTCCAAATTCTGATATCCTGTGTGAGGATTTATGAACTGCAGTAGGATAGGGATCAATGTATCCTGGCAAAAAAAAAATTTGACCGCTGTAGGAAAGTGTTAAGAATTAACATGATAACATTGATGGGAAACAGTCAAACCACATTTTATAGTTCAGCCTTAATATGCTTTGGAGATATGAAGCATCTGCAAAATTAAACAGATACTTTATCCATATTAAGCTATCCACTGAGCTTGCGGCACAAGAAAAAATTCTGGATTCATTTGAGAGAGAAAGACAGATTGAGGGTATTAGTGATGCACGGATGATTTTTCATAGAACGTTTCCTCAAGCATATTGACTTGACTTGGTGTAGTGTTTTTCTACTGACAAATAAGTGACTCCATAATCAACTGGATACTAGGTCCAACCTGGTTTTGTTTGAGCTCGTGCTGAATTTGGTGCCAACTCTCCATGCAGACAGAGGGCAGACAAAGTTTTGTTTCTGACCCTTGGAAAGGACAAGGCCCGTAAGGTAACATTTTAGTTTGGTAATAGGGAAACAAAAAGGAATTAATCTGTTGCTCTTGGGATTTACAAGCGTTAAATTTGCTACTGGAGGGCCCCTCTTGTGTTTCTTGAATGAAAATTTGTACACCAAAATCAAATATAAGAACTGAGATCGACTATAGTCATTGTCTTAATTGATGGCAAGATACCCATACACATAAAATATAATTAAATTTTTTTCATTAAAATACACAGTAATATTTGATACATTAAATACCAAAAATAGTGGAAAGATAAAAAATGCAAAAATTCTACGATAATTGAAAGATTGACCACTGCTACTTCTAACCCATGATTTGAACTTACTATATTTGTAAGATAAGAAAAGATAATATTCACTACTAAGAATACAGCATGTCATTAGCATGCAGTGAAATTAAGAGGAACTATTTGCAATGGAAATGCATTGGAAATTACAAGGAAAATATTTTTAAAAATCAAATATAAGTCACACTGAATTCATACACAGGTTTAGCAGTATACATGCAAAAAGTCATGCTAAATAAATAGAATTTTTATTTAACTTTTTCAATAAGCGAGTGAGGTGGAGAAAGAAAATTTCTAACATTTTAGCTATGTGTTAAAGAGGGGCAGCAGAACAGACCTTTATCTCCTACTTATAGTAAATAATTATTAAATAGTCATTACTTCAGTTGATTTAGCCTCAGAGAATACAGCAGTTGCACACCCACAATAATGTTATTATGATGTTCCATTGCATATATCATGACACTCCTACAAAATCAGTATAATAATATTACACCAAACGACTAAATCTTGCTCTCTGTACTCATCGAATCACATTTAAGTCAATGGGACTACTGAAATGAGTAAAGCAAATTGAAGACGGGTGGAATTGGTGCCCTATACTGCTTATTTGGATTTTAACCCATGAATTTATTTTAAAATATCTCCATAAATTGAGCACCGATTAAAATGATTTTGATGGAATACTTATTATTTGGTCTGGGCCCAAGAGGAAAAAACAACTAAGTTCAGTGTTTTCAGAATAATATCATATCATGTACAGCCCTACAGAGATAGAAACACCACTGCTTTCCCTAACTTAGTCCATCTCAGCCATGGCTGTTCATGTGAGATAATTAGTACAGACCATCAGTAGCAAGTGTATTGTAATACCACTCTATGATTTTTTTAAAAAAAGATGCTACCTCTGGTTCCAGCTGACGCACACATACTTTTGGAAACCTCAGGCATCCTCTCTGATCTATGGTCTGATTCTTACTCATACAGAGTATTATTTTATACTGTGAACAATTCCCCTAAAGTAAATTTATCATTCTAAAGCGTAAGGGTGCAAGAATCTCTCCCTGGATATTACAAGCAGTATTTTTTCCTAAGATTCAGTTGTTGCTAGCAAACTCACTGAGACCTCTAAGATAACTGAGACAGAGACATAAGAAAAAATTGCCTTTAACATAACCCATCAAATAGCCTGTAAAACTTTCCTGCCAAATATTAAAATTTGGGAGAAAGTGGATATAGGGGAATTGCATTCCTGGTATTTTCCTAATAAAGAAAAAATGTATTTTCATTTTGTGGGTAGGGTGTTTTACTTTTAAATTAAGAATGAGGGAGGAGAGCTGATAAAATCTTTGGCATCTCTTAAAGACATTTTATATATGCTATGCCATCTACAAATTCTCTGCAGGCACAGAACTAGTAACATTCTTCTGCCTAATCCAAAAAAAGTACTGAAAGGCATCTACAACTATAAAAATATTAATGCCAATAATCACAAGTAGGACATTTTTAAAGACGTATTCCACTAAAAACACAAGAAGCTATAGAGAAAAGAAATTAAAAATGCTTTGTCTTTTAATAAAATGTGTTAATTTAGGGAAATACTATCTCCTTATCTCTCTGCAATCAATTTAGGTTCAGAGCATTTATTTTAATGCCTAAATGCTCTCTGTATGATTGAAATGCTGTTTGTCATTAAGTAACTATACCAGTTTTGCTAAGAAGGGTACTGCGTTTCTGAACAGCTTCTTATAAAAGCCCCGCATAGCATTCTATAGACAGCCAGAGGAAAGAGCCTCTAGCTACAGACTCCAACTATAATTTACATGAGGTCTGAGCTAGACCAAAGGTGGTGGAGAATTCCCTTATAGTGTATTTCAGACTCTTCTTTTTATTCAATGTAGGTTTTGTTCTGGTTTTCCAGTCTTTTGCAGATTGTTATTTTAGGCTTGTTTTTCCCAGGTCACATTTATCAGACTTATTTTTCATATACGTACACTTTCTAATATTTATAGCAACAATTACTCAAACAGTCACAACAGCTGTTTTGTTTACCCCACACTATCATTTACAGACTAATTATTCACTGGTGACTCAATTGATCAGACTACATGGTCCTTTATACAGGGACAATTCTGTGTGTTTCCTTATCTTCTATTTTGCATATTCTATTCAAATAAATCAAAGATAGGATTTACCTGTAGAAGGTCGAAGGGCCAGCTTCTCTCATCCCAAAGTTGCTCTGATCATTTTCAAGGTAGTAGGGTACCTGTTGGCTGTGGTGATGGATGAAGGGAGAGAGCTGTGGCGTCGTTTGTAAGAACAGCACGGGGCTTGGAGGGACATTGTTTAGAGAATGAAACCCTCCCAGACTGCTGGACCCAAATGATTCAGAAGCAGGAGCATAACTGAGGCTAGTAGAGCTGTACACCGGAGCGGCAGTGGCAAAGTCATACGTGGTACCTTCTGGGTAGTTAAAAACCCCCGTCTTGTTGCTCTCCACATACATCTCACTGAGTGTCCGATCCAGGGGAATCTTCAGCTGTGGTCTGTTCAAAGGCTCCAGTTCATTGCCTTGAATCTGGTGGAGCATGGCAACTCCAGAGGTTTTGGTATGAAGGGTCATGGTCATTGTTAATGGCAGCAAGCAATTGGCATATCTGTTTTTACTGTCAGCGGAGGGATCAACAGCTGAGAGTCCACCTGAAAAAAGAGCAGAACCTGGTGTCAGCCGTGGCAAAAATCATGTTAAAGAAGCACTGCACAGGTATTCAGCTGGACTCAGCAATGAGGAGAATACAATCCAAAGCTGCATGAGCAGTGAGAAAACTCTCTCCTTCTCTCTCTCCAGCTCTCTCTCTAACTTTTAAGTATTCCTCATCTGAGCTAATATGCATTACAAAGGTGCTGGCCAGAAGCCAAGAACTCTTGCCTTGCACTGACATTGGTTTAAACATCTTCAGGAACAATTAGTTTTGGAGTGATACCAAATAATTGTTTCACTAAACTTTACTCCTATTAGTTGTTTAATTTTTCACTTCATGGAGTTCTGCTGCTCTAGGGTGGCTAAGGAAAAAACAGTGCTTATACCAAACTAGGAAGACTAATCCAGTGGTCAGCCAGCTTACTGCTTTTTATGCCCCTGCCAGGCTCCAATCTATCTCTGTTTATCTCTACTCCTGTTTGATTCATGTTCATGTTTGCTGGAAATATGTAATGTGTACATTGTAATGACCCTGGGTAGGACTATGCTGTAACTGAGATATGGCAGACCAGAGTATGTGTGTGTGTGTATGTGTTTGTGCAGCCAGCCACTCAGTAAAATTGTATTTAACAGAATCAATGGATGTACTTTATCTATGTAGGAGAAAAGTCATATATAAATGTGCTACGTTATAATGATTACTGGTATTTAGCTGAAGTGTAAAAAGTTACGTGAAAAAGGGAAAATCTTTAGTTAAATTCTTCTATACATTTCTGCTTCCTTCTTGTTTAGCATGTAACATCAGAGTAACATAAGCTTAAATATGAATCAAGACATCTTTCAGACATATCAAAACCCCAGACAGAAAAAAATCATGTCAATTGCATGAAATATGAACTAGATATTAATAAATCCAGCCTGAGGATTTTCTTCCTCTTTGTCCATTGACAATTACGCTTCCATTTCAGATCAGAGTTTAGAAATCAAAATAATTCAGAGGGACCACTTTAAAATAAACCAAAATAAACTCCTTAAAGCTATATTTAAAACTCAGCAAGAAAAAACAGAATTGTAGAGGAAAGGTGTGGCAAGCAAGTTTCATCTTGTAGCTTATTTCCATATTATTTTAATTTTGCAAAAGCTACTTATCAGCCTAACGAAAACCTCTGAAAATTGTTTCAAATTCTATAGCAATACTATATTGATCTACAGTTCAGCTGTTACAGTAGGTTAGTGGCAACCCCCAACAGATTAATGCAAGACCCTAAATAGCGCAGTTTGAGTACTGATGTAAATCCAAGCTATACTAAAATAATTCTACATTTATTCGGCTTCACATTTGGAAAGTCTGATAATCAAATGAGATGAGGGTTTAAAAAGAATCCACTTGGAAATTTCTTTATGATGTCTTCATCTTAAAATAGTTTCAAAACAACTTTACTATAAATGTTTTAATTCTATAGACAATACTTGAACCATAATATTACATTTTTTGAGGTTTTATTTAAAAAAATCCAATGTTTAATCTACACATGCATGATTTCACTGAAGTAAAGCCATTTGAACACATACAGAGACAGCAGCATATGCTTATATATATATTAACTAGACAGATTCCCCTCCACCCTTCCTTCCCAGCTCAAATTTCAGATTATAGACTTTGATCAAAGAGATAACAGTGTTTAAATAAGGCTGAACTATACAAGTACCTGGTAAGAAAAACATCAGACAGTCATGCCCAGAAGAATCGCAAGATCCTTCCAAGAGATTCTAAAAATATGCAAAAGTGTATAAGTGTGTGTATGAGAGGGTGAGTGAGAGAAAGTGTGTATGTGTGCGTACGTGTATTTGTCAGGGCTTGTGAAAGAGCAGACAAGCACAGCTCTCAACATCTTCCTGAATACAAGAGCCAGTAGCTATGCTCCACAGACTATAATGAAGGACAGTTACAAGTTTACGGTAGGCTATGCCTACAGAGTCACTTGGTGCATCTGTAATATTCTGAACATAATACTGTCTAGCATAATATGTTCTTATAGTACATAATCTGAGAAACACTGTGACACTGTCCCAGAGAAAGAGTAGCATTTATTTTTACAACATTCTGTAAGAGGGAATCATGTGTGACCCATTATAACACTATGTAATAATATACTACATTATAATGCGTACATAGAAGAGAACAGATTTAAGGTTAAGCACGCAAATTTAACTTCCCCACTTACTGATTTTTAAGTATTTCACACTGGATTCTCAATAGCGACAAGGAGTCCTGTAGTACCTGAACAGGACTCCTTGTCGCTTTTGCAGATAGAGACTAACATGGCTACCCCTCTGATACTTGGATTCCCAATGTCCTTTTAATAGGGTTTTTTAATTGAATTTACCCACATCCAACTATTTGCTCAATGGCATTAGCACCTTCTGTGTGGCACAATAAGTCCATGGTCACCTTATGTCATCTTAACTCAGGATCTCTGCAAGGAGGGCAGGCAGGACTCAGGAGAGGGGTAGATACAGGATCCCCTGCAATTAATGCACAGCAGCTACTAAAAAAACTCCTTAAGCTAAACTATAATAGGTTGTCAGTGTCTTGCCTCCATTACCCAACCTAGTCAGCAGATGCTGATCCTGGTGGAAAAAGGTTAAGTGGGCTCTGCAGATTCACCATCTGATGGCTTGCTACCCCACTATAAGGATAGTAGAAATAGCTCTCCACAGAGAAGATCTAGGTGGTGAACTAAGAAATCCTGTGGTAGGAATCTAGTACACAGTCATGCCTGAAAAGAAGGCTCAGGATTAATTTTATTATATTTTCTTTATTAATAAATCCAAATCCCAGAAAGGAGGTGAATTTTTGACTCTACATAGTATATGGACTTTATTTTGGAGCAAGAAAAATAGGCGTCAGCACATAACAAGTGAAAAGTCTTTGATAAACCCTAACATTTTATTTTCTTCTGTAAATCTCAAAGCAATTTACAGATGGGGCTAAATATTCTGTACAAGTTCATCTAATAAGTGACTGAGACCCCCAGAATTTGAAACCAGGTCTTTATTCTTAGCAGTCAAGGGGTTTATTCCATTACACACATGTCCTCACAGACAAGTCACTCTGATTTACTGTATCTAGATTTTCCATCTGGGAAATATGCCTGATAAGAATAATTGGCACGTGTTCCTTGGTAGATCCCAAAGCACTTTATAGAAAATATGTGCAAGGAGACTCCAGTTTACAAATGAATCAGTCATTTGCCTAAGCTTACATCATATCTTGCAAAGAGAAATCTGCCCCATTTGCTGTGCACATTAATTAAATAACAAAACTTACCCTGAGGGATGAACTGCAGTGCCTTCACTACACATGCTGGTCAAAAGTACTTTAAAAATACCCACTCAATGGCAGGTTTATTGGTTTTAGATAGAGTGCTTCATTTATTAATGTGCATACAATTCCAGCCCAGCTAATAAACATCTTGGGCTACACCTACACAGCATCTGGGAGGGAGCAGGA